GGCCAGTGATGTCAAGGGAAGACAAAGAAGAAAAAGTGTATCACTCTTCCCCCATTCCAGTTTAGGAACTGTATTTAAGAGAAACAGAGAAGATAATCCTTTAATTATGTGGAAGGCTTTTCAAAGTATATCTTCCTTGTTACAAAAGCCCTGGAGGGATATGAGGAATTTAAGTGGGACATCCTTATACTTTGTAATAAAAATATTCCATAGATGTCAATGATAAAAAAATATGTTTTGCTTGACTAAAATCCAGAGAAGATTCACTGGATCATACTAATTTGTTGTTCTGCTTAAGAATTGTAGATAGGAATTCATTTTTTTTTCTTATCATGTGTATCTTTTCATATAGTCCTCAGTTTTCTGTTTAGCTCAATAGCCATGCACCTGTATTTAATAATGCATCAGTAGACTTGGAGATCTAAAGCACTGCTGACTAATTATAAAAAAAATCCCACCAGGATGGCCAGCAAGGAATAGGTCAATGCTTTCATGATTGCCTTCCACAATTCCATGTCCCTTCACAGGCCCAACAATGCCATTTTTTAAAATTTAATTTGGGTGCTTTTGTGAATAGGTTTGCTTAAGCAATTCTGGCTTTTTTAAGTTTCTCAAGCTGAGGTTGGAAATGAAATGAGAGAAGAGATGAATGTTGCATCCTGCTGTGCAGAATCTGTAAGAGGGATCCTTCTGAATCTACAATACTCTTCCTTTGGCATTTTCAACAGCTCAGTTGCCCTTTCCTTTTCAATATGACCTAATAATAGAAAACAAATCCAAAGCTACAAGCATCCTTGTTAGGTAGCAAAACAGCTGCCATTTGTGAAAATTGTCTTAATTTAATACTGATCCTTGTCAGTAAGATTTTATAAGGCTGACCTCTCCTGCCAAATGTCAACCAAGCAACCAAGCAACCAATCAAAAATGCAAATAAAAACCTTAAGTTTATAGCCTCAGTTTAGAAGGCAAAGCTGTACCAAGATAAGAATATTTCATTGTTGTTTCAGAGGAGAGGGAGTACTATTCCTTGTAAATATGGCAATGTTTCCCTATCTTCCTACCTTAGGCTGCTGTGCTAGAAGTAGTTGTCTGGGGAATCAGGTGACTCTTTTTGCCTTTCTTCTGTAGGCTGAGAAGCTTAATAGATTTGTGGGGGTGGTTGGAGAACTCTCATTTCACCCCTAAGTAGCTACTTTGCCACAATTCAGTTCAACATAGGGGTCTCCAGTGTGTGCGTGAAACAACAAAAGCAGCATCCCTGTCCTTGTGCTGCAAGTTTTATCCCTGTGATATGGGCGTTATGACATCACAAAAGGGTTGGTGTTTTCAGTGCAAAAGCGATGCTGATGTCATTCGTTAGATGAAAGTGTCGGATCCTCTGCAGTTCAGCCTTTTGTATGAAGATGTTCTCAGAAGAAAACATGTCTTCACTCCAAGTTTATGACAGCTGTGATTTCAGTGGGATGGAAGAATGGCGTATACGCGCATCCCATATAATCTTACCTGTTGTATGGTAACCCTTCCACTCAAATCCCAGTTCAAATGTGTCAGTGTGATAGTCCAAACCATGGATAGTGAGAAGGGAAGGGAGAGAACCATATTGCTTCCCCACTTAAAAATGTAAATGATGACCTCATAATTCTTTAAAATAATTAAATCTGAATTGACTCAAATAACAAGATAATAATGTAAAAATACCAGAAAATATTGGTGTTTTTATTTATTTTTAGGGGATGCACAGTTATTCATGCCCTGGGATAGTATGGCAGAAGCTCTACTGTTATCAAGGCTTACGGCTTAGCAAGTTGTGTGTATCCCACTAATTCTGATTTATTCAGTAAACTTCAGGCAAGCAACTGCATCTTAATATGATCTGTGAGTTCAGCCGAGCTTATTCCAGAGTAAAACAATTAAAGCAAGCATTTATAAATGATACCGAGTGACTTATGCTGTTTGTGATTGTGCGCATTTTAACCATTTAATTGATTTAGGACACTTGAAATATTTAATAGTTATCCTAATTCTAATTGTGTTTCCAAGTATTTTTTCATGAAGCTCACTGAGTGAGCAAACAAGAGTTTGGCAGGGGAGGACTAGCTCACGACCGGACTAAGCAAACAGGGAAGGTTTGCACAAAAGTTTAGCTAAAGGGGTTGGCATGGAAGGTCACAGGCAGTACAGAACGTGGCATCATTCTGACCTGCAGAATGTGTGCAACATTTATCTTCTGGTTTGAAGAAGACCCAAAGAAGTGCAAGGCTATTTCTCTACTGGAGGAGAAAGTGAAGGGAGTTAAGAAAAGAGCCGTTACCCTGAAATGCATCAGGGAAAGCGAGTTCCTCAGGCAGGAGAGCTATTTCCATGTTTGAAATACATAACTAGCTATTTCAAGAAAAGTTTCTCTCTTTGTTTCATTCGGTGATGCAATATGGGTTTGTAGAAATACTGGAAATATTGGAATGGCTTTTATCTTTCCTAATAAATGTACCCCTGTTAAGAAAGACCTGCCTTTTGCTGGGAGCATTAATATTCATTACTGAAATTGGAACGCTAGGGCTACAATTATTTATTGTATCTCACAACAAGCAGCATGTTTTCAAGTGAATTTATATTGGATTTTTTTTCAGAACCACACGCTGCATTGAACAATAGATGGTCATGATTTCTTGAAAATGATACGTATTTTTCAGTATGTTTCTTTTAATATTCACATTTTATATGCAATTTTACTCAGTGTGCATAATCTCTGTATATTCCTTTTACTCATAGATGCAATGTGTGTGCATTTTCCGCAATAGCCATCTTTTTAAAAGTTACCTTTGCTTCTCCCTTGTAGTTAACTGCTGAGTTAATTAACCATAGCATGTGGGCAGCAGGAAATGATTGTTCCCAGAATAAAAAAGCACACACACACAAACATAAAACCCCGAAACATTTCATAGTGTCCTGAAGCTAGTTTAAGGAGCATACTAGCTTGACTGACCCATGAATCCTGGTTTGGACATAAGGAAACTCAGGGCAATCTTCAGTTGCAGTATGGAAAGGAAAGAAGCATCAGTATTAAGGCTGCGCAACGCTTCATGTTCAAAAGAAAAAAATGCTTTGCAATGTGTGGGGACTCTCACATGTCTTGGCTTACTAAGCTGAGCTACGTACAGGTGGTCCTTACTTAATGACCACAACTGAGACTGGAAAGTTGGTTGTTAAGCAAGTCATCATGTAACTGGACCCGATTTTAAGACCATCTTTATGATAGTCATTAAGTGAATCAGCTTCCCCAATGGACTTTTTTGCCAGAATTCATCTAACAACCACGTGATTTGCTTAATGACTACATGATTCACTAATGACCATGGTGATTCGCTTAACAACTGTTGTAAAAAAGGTTGCAAATCATGATCATGAGATTGCAGGGGGTGGTGCGACAGTTTGTGACCATCATAGGTGCAAATATAGGTCGTAAAGCACTTTTTCTGAGGCTGTCATAACTTTGAACTGTCGTTAAACAAACAGTTGTTAAGTGAGGATTACCCGTACATCTGAATCAGAAAATACATGGTTAACTTTCAAGCTTTTTTTAAAAAACTCCTCTGAAATAAATATTTTTAAAAAATAGTATAAGAGCTTTCATCCCCCAAAGATTTCTTTTGTAAAACATGTTCATGAAAATGACCTGTTTGGAAGGGCATTGGATTATAAATTTGCATAACTCAATTTTCTGAGCCTTTTTCATGAATATCAAAAAAGTGAGATATGAAAGGCTGCAGAGAATAGCAAAGCCAGCAGGAAAAAAAATCTGTAATAAAGGCCACTACAAATATGCAGAGCACAAGCCTGCCATAAATGTCCCTAACAATAATTCACGAGTTTGCTAGCTGTGCAGATACAGTGAACATCATTATTACCAATAAAAACATAAATGGAATTCAAAAGCAAAACA